TGTCAATACAATATTTAATAATAATTGTCACGGCATTTGTAATATTCTCAAAGTATGTTTATGTCGTGTAATTTTGGCCGACAATCAAAAATTAAAATTAGAAATGTTTCAGAAAAATTGCTAAGTATTTAAATTTGTATCAGTTGCAAATAAGTAGGTAGTGGGCAAACTAAAGTAATTATGTCAAAGAAAGAACCGTCAAGTTATTGGATTATCGTGATATCATTCCGAAATCCACAAACCTTCAATAATGCTTTTGGGATTTATTTTACTCGCCCGAACGAGTCCGTTGTAGAAATATGAGATTTAAAATCGAAAAATAGTTTAAATGTATATGATCAACTCTTCAATATACCAACACCAACATAATATCATTTTTCATTCAGGCGTATGAATTCTATGCATTTGAAATTTGAAAATCTGATTTTATAGTATTTTAGACTTAAAGTATATACACCTACTTTCCAACCTAATAAAACATTGAAAAATCCTTTCATAGTGGATTATGTCATGCAGCCAAAGTAAAAAAAAAAATCCCTTTCCATTATAGTCAAACGAAACAAGTAAGCTTTTATCACGGCTTAATAAAAAAATCAGTCAACCATGGAAATTCACTCTTTGCGAATATTCCTAATAATTAGGTTTTAGGATATTTTATGCAATCTATTTGGTTTAACTCAACTTTTTGTCCTTTAAAACTTAAAAAAAATATATTTTCATTTAACATCCGTTTTTTGGTTGTAACAAACATTTTAACCAAAAAAAAAAAGAAAATGTATATAAAATAAAGATAAAAAAAGTCCTATTTTAATGTTGAACATAATTAATTTTTAATTCGAACAATAGAAAAATATTTAAGAAATTAAATATGTAATCAATTAGTACCTCATTCTAATAGAGAACATAATAATTAATAAGCGATTAAATGTAATTTTATATTCATTAGTTTTGTACAAAAGGTCTTAAAAAATGTATGAAAAGCTAACGTAGATGGAAGTTTTTTGCCATTCAATGCATTGTATAATGATCAACAACTAGAATTTTTATTTGTACTGTTTCTGTTGTTAGCATTTCATCTTATGGCTTCTTTTAAAAATAAAAATAAAATATTAACTCTTATTATATTTCCAAGTTCTTTAGGTAATCATTGGCCATAATAATAATAAAAATACCTATTCCATATTGTATTTGTTTTAATATTTTTCTTTTAATAAAGCACATACAGTACTTAAAGTTATTCCAACTCAAGGATAATATAAAATCGATTTAAGATTTTTTCGTTAAAAAGTTTTGTCAAGACATATAATATTAACTTTAATTCTTTCTCCGGATGATCCAGCCGTATAAAGTCATTATCCGTTTATAGGAAAAACTTCATGAAACTCTGAGTACTTCTGACATAAAATGTCATACCAGTAGCTTCCAGTTAATTTGCTTTGTTCAATTCTTTATTCGTGTATTTTTGGTAGCTTACTTTTATTGTTTATAAATATAAAATATATATGTATTATACATTTCTACGGCTATTCCAAAGTTTATAACAAATTCGCATTTTATAGAATAAAACTGTAATCGAAATTAAACTTATTGACGAGTGTTTTCCGCACGAATGGAAGTATAATCGTAGTGGTAGTCATTGACATTTGAATAGTATTTTTTCAGAATCACACATGTTATAAAGTACAGGCCATTTTGCGAGAAAAAAAAATTATGCTTGTAGTGCATTATTTAGGGTACACATCGAAAAAACATCTATAGTCGCCTGTTGACAACGACAGGAAACGTTACACGCAAGCTGGCAGCGGCAGGGGTTGAAGGAATAGCCGGGTACACAGGGCGGTCACTGGGGGTTATTAATGACGTGCATACGGTAGGCAAATCGACTTCCATTTATAAGGTCCGACGACCCAAATCGTTTTAGCGTCACGCGGGCTGTTCTGAAGCGTTAGTTTGGAAAACATTTTGACGCCGAAAGTGGACAAAGGTTAAAAGGCCGAATGAAACGATGGCGAGAGGTGCAGGAAGATAGGTAGGGATTGACGGAAGAGGCGTCGCAGCGGATGTCGGTAAGTCGGGATTTTATCGATACTCCACATAACGTCAATGGGAAGCAGGGCATTTCCTCTGGGGAAAAGGACCGCTGGGTATAAAATATATTGTGGCGATCGTTTTGAATACGTTTTAACGATATAACGGCGCATTTAGTAGAATTTCAACGAGCAGAATAGTGCGTTGTAGGTCGATTGAATCCATTCGGGCATGACCATTTGTAATTTTCGGTAAAGACAAAAGCCTGAATTTTGAAAAGCCCGTGGATTCATTATTTATCTAGTTTTACGACATAACCCCGGTATAGAACAGTGTCCGTTTGAAAATGTTATTGACTACCTAAATATAATATAAAATCAGAATTAATCGGAAAAGGTAGGTCATAGTCAACGTATTTAGTAGATAACATTCGGTTTTGTTCCAAATAACGCGTTATAGGTGAATTATCCCAAAAAGGTTCTTTTCGCCAAGTGTTGGATGGAGGAACATATCCATTTTGCAGAGATAACATTATATTCTGTATTATAGAAAACTATACATAACCCCCCATTATAAAGTGGCTACACTAAATGATGGCAAATATAATTTTGTAGAAAACGATCTAACGCTACATTATAATACTAAATAAATAATGTTAATGGCTACTCGAGTGACTTAAGAGAATAAATTAAACGAATAGCTTATTTTGCCCGATAGTAGACATGAGGCGTAACCATATGCTTTTGTTGCAAAGAATTTGTATTGTTTAAAAAAACTACAGAGAAAAAAAAAGGAAGTGAGTTATTCGTATTCCAATTGTATCTCATAAGGTGTTCCAATGAAGAAAGTCTACCGGGTTGTAACCTTTTGGGAAATTAGAGCGAGTTCTAGGAAAATGTACCTACCCGCCGTTATTTATGGCCGCTGATGAACCACAACAATATGATTAACGCGTCCTGTTGGCGCTTACCACAAAGGGAAAATGGAAATTTATAAATGCCCTACAGCCACCGGAAAGGCGAAAAACCCTTTTTTTTTTTTTTACTATAGATGTATATTTATATTTCCCGCCGAAGTTAAGTATTTAGTGAATAATAATTAAAATAATACTTTGGCCAGCTGAGTTGTAGATTAATATGATGTGCATATAAGTGGCATTTTGTAATGTCACTTGGAGCACTTATGCTACAAAACGTTTGTAATGTTATGATATTTCCAAAACAAGGTCTATTCAGCTATCATTGTTTGTGATTATTTGACAAACTTCCTATATTTTTCCCTTGCGATAGCCTCGATCCCATGCTGCTGTTACATTATTATAGACGCATAAACGTTTATACGGCGATAGTGTTATTTTTTTTTTTTAAGGCTCTGGGCTATTTCCAAACCCCAGTCAAGTTTAAAAGCCGTTTGTACACTTTGCGAGCCACGATGTTACTGTCGCAATAATAAGAAGATAAGCGGAAAAGTTTTGAATAAAAGTTGATCGAAATCTTAAATTGTATAAAGCACATAAACTGCAGTACGGCAAGTGAATCCCCGGAGAAGAGCGACGGTTTTGTTTTCTTCCATTTTTGTTTTCTTTAAAAATTATTCGATGAAGTTCTCGAGGCTATAAAACTAAAAAGTCGCCTCATCAATATTTACCGCGTGTACTTTTTATTTTTAGCTTTTTGTGTCCACCATTATAAACCGCATTGTATACGTTTGTATGTATGTATAATATATTTATTATAATATTATGTACGCCGTTGAAGCCATTACACGAGAATGCAAGTGCATGTCATAAAATATTTTCTGTTTCGGAAATTGTTTCCAAAACTTGTGTAGTTTTAATAACCTCTAAACACCATAATAACAATAGTTGTTATTACTTAAGTGACACTTATTACGAGACCATGGGTTCCTTTTGGTTTTGTTGAGAACATATTATATTTGCTTGAGATTTTGAGTTATATAGCCAAAACTAACTTAATTAAACGCATTAGGTCAGTCGCCTCGATAAAGTTTTTTTAATCAGGTATATTTAAACTCTTTTTAATACAGGTGAATTATGAACCACTCCGTATAAGGTGCGAACTCAAGTATTATTTGTTTTATAAATAAGTATTGACAATCTTATTATACGATTTTCGTAATAAGATATAAATCATTGAAAATAAATGTATATAAATTTATAATAATTCAACACATTCAAATTCTAAAGTAGTATTATAGTAATCACGATCCCTAGTAAATCTTCATTAATTTGATATACTGTCTGTGGTATTATGTTTAATTATTAATTAAACTCTGTTTATTTTTAAAAAAACTTTTGTATTCAGAAAAAAATGTTGGCAACAACTTTGAAACCACAATATTTAAAGACCTTATATAACGCTTAAACTCTTTCTTCTTTTTAAAGAAAACTTCTTTATTTTTCCATTGTCGTTTCCCACAAATACTTTTTGTCGACAACAATAATAATTAGTATTTTCGCTGAACTTGTTTTCTTTTTTAACAGACATATAATGAAATTAAAATATTAATTTATTTTAATAGTTTGTTTCTCCAGAATTAACAATATAATTTTCTAAAACGGTACTTTAATCGATAAAAATTCTGAAACCAGCATAATCAAGTTATATGTTAGTGTAATATATTTAAAAAACGGACAATTAGTTCCTTGGTGATTTTAGTTACCCCAGGTGTCCAGATACTTTATACTTATGTACTATATTGTTATTATTAATACTTATCTATTTGTATCAACAAGATAAAGATTCTTTACAAAGTTAAAAATAATTAATTAGACTTCTGTAAAAAAAAAGTTAGTGGAAATCAAACAAAATGTATAATAATCCGTTAAAACCTTTTTACCTTTGTACTTTTAACTAAACCGGATTTAATAATGTTTTAAGTATCGAAATAGGTGCTTTGACTATAGGTACTAAAAAATAATGAAACTATAAATTATTTTATTTAAAAGATATTGTCTAATCTTATTATCTAAGTTTTAATTAAATATCAATAATACTTATTATTACAATATTACTTAGTGTTAACAATACAACGAGTGAACGAACAATAAAAACATATTACATATTATACAATTCTGTTTGTGTAACTCACTTTAAATTTGTCTGAATTACAACATTTAATGTTTTTTCGATATTTTTAATGAAAAACTGTCTCCACCACAGGCCGTACACGAACAAGCCGACGGAACGGCGACCGATTTTTTATACCTGTAACCGTCCTTACATTGTAGAGACACAGAAACCTCTTCGTAGCGGATCGGTTGACAACATTGACATTTGGAATCGTGTTTGGTCGTTTCTGGATAACAACAAAAATCAGACTCGCGTTACAAAACAATGATTCGTTTTTACAGGAATATTATTTTTGTGTTATTTACTTTTGTTGAAATACGTGTAAGAATCACACAGGCCTCGGCATTCGGTGAAGCCGACAATACCGTCCGGGTTAGTGCACGTATCGTGGAATAGACTCTCTTCGATCACCAACCCAACGGTGTGGTTGAGTGGCAAACTTTCAGGAGCGCATAACGATTTGTCACTGGCTACTTCTTCGGTTCCGGTAGCATTGCAACGTTCGCAACAACCGTCTTTGTAAATTCTGTTCTCCGGGCAGTTGCCGATGTTAGGACAACTTTGGTACACCGGTAAAATATTGAACTAAAAAATGTGGGAAAAAACGATAAAAGGATACTTCTACTATACAGTATGGCCAATGTCGCAATTGGAGAAAAATCTATTTTATATTATAGTTCAGAAAACAAATTACTTCATAGAAAATATTAAAATCTATTTAAAATTTGTTTGTTTTTTTCCAAAAATCTCGAGCGTTTACTAACTTTTGTACAGTGTATTTACAAAATTTCGTTAGAATCCAAACCATTCAAAATGTGTACTTGGGTAAAAGAAAATTCAGATTTGCTAAATGACCAGTTTGAAGAGGTACACATATATATTTTTAAAAATTGTATTTCCGCCTATGCAAAATAATTATACTATATACATTTATTATAGTATAATGTAGATATACGGAATTTAAGTACACACGTTTTTTTTATCATTTGAAAATTAAAGAAAGTTTTAATGGGTATTAATTATTGGCCACTGATTATAATATTAAAATTTACTCGAAACGCTCACCTCGTTGAATGCTGATTTTTCACACAAATACGTTGTACAGTTGTCGTATGTCCACGTATCGTTTTCTGCGTACGCTTTGTTTTGCATTACACAACTATCTTGTACACACGAACCGCAGCAATTGTTTGGCATGTTTGGTTTAACATAAGCCCAGCCCTAAAGACATAATGGAAATCATGTAATAAAAACAAGTTATCAAAACATATTCTAACTTAAGTAGAATGCACGCGTATATATATATTGGTGGATTGTAGTTTACCAAAGCACAATCGCTATTGCAGCTCTTTACTGATTCGTGGACGTATGCTTCATCGTTGCTATCAAGTTTACAACTCAACGTTTTGCAAGGATCTGCAGAGGTCCATTCGCTTCCCACGTTGTACACTGTTCCTTGATGGATACACGACTCTCGCTTGTACGTAGGACAGCATTGGCCATATTTCATTTTAGCTGCCATCACATACTCAGAATTACTCGGCGAAGGAGAGCACTCGAGCTTATTGCACATTCCTTTCTTTGAATCAACATCACAAAAACATGATCTACAGGGCCCGTCTTCCCAGGTATCAATTAACTGTAAAAAAAAAAGAGGGGGATGTTAACTATTAGAGAACTACGCCAATACTATATAATCAAAGTCTGTAAAATATACTTGTTTTAAGATCACTGCTTTCTCGTTGTTGTTTCGCTTACGCTCGCCACCTTCATTTGATGCTATCCATTCGTACTCGTAAATGCATGTATTATTCGGTAACTCTAAACAAGACAAACGGCAAGCTCGTCAGTGCCTCTTAATAAATAAAGTTACCTAACAAGTTCTGATTCGATGAATAAAAGATAGTTTAATTTTCTCTACTATTTCCCATTATAAAACCACCAACGCTGTCTTAGTTGGCAACTTTTAATATGTTTCTTTGTTTGTTTATTTGGCCTACACTCGTTATTTATATACTCTTGACTTTTAAGATTCTCATAATAACGTAATTAGAGAGGGACCCTGGGGAGTCGAGGCTCTCTAAAACCTCTTTAAGCTACCTCAGAAATTCGGCAAAAACTGAAAACGCTCTTTAAGCCTCAAGGCCTAATTGGTTGCTAATATTTTTTGTGAACGACTCGAGGAGTTTAGAAGAATTTTAAACTTCTCTAGCCCACCTGCCCCCCCCCCTTCTTTTTACTCTACTCTAAGTATGTTGTTACTCCTGATAGTGTATTCGTTAGTTTTTCTATCTCTAATATACATCACAAAACTGATATTAATTGGAATCCATGAACCTTATTTTACCAAGTATCAAAAAAGGTTTTAAAAATGTCCCTTGTTTTTTATTTAAATTATTATTTTATAATTCATAAACATAAATTGCGTAATAAAATGATCTATTGTTAAGTTTTGTATAATATCTTACGCAAAAAATATAAACTTAATATTTCTGATCCCAGTACTTACCACATTTATACTGAGGACAACATTGGTGGTTTTCAATTTTGATTTGCTCGTAGTATAAATCACACGGTTTCGGTTCGGGGCATGTTTCTGGTACACAAGATGCCTTGAACGAAGGACAACATCCCTGATTGTTTATCACGTTTACCATGCCTGGCAGAAGTTCGACGTCATTATCAGGTGTAGACTGAAGACACTCATCTCTCGGAATGCATTCTAAAGGTAAAGTATTAATATCAGTTTATCCAATAAAGTATTTAAGTGTAAAGTATTATTATGAGTTTATATCAATACACTAAATAAAAATATAATCACCACAGATGAATCGTTTGCAACCATTTGGAGTTAATTCCATTTTTACAATCTGATCTTCAGCGCACACTGGCATTATAATGTCTGTACAGTTCTGAACGCGGTTTTCTTCTGGAACTAAAAAACGTTGGTTTTTATGAATATAAGTAAAATTGATATTAGAAAAATATATTATGTTAACATACTGCATTTGTACTGTTCGCAACACTCGTCCGATTTAGTCTCGTCTTTCACAGATTTAAAACCGGTTTGACAAATTGAAAACGATGACTGTTGACATTGCTTCTTTTCGCAACGAATAGCTTTCGAACTTGGCGTGCAAGTGCATGTTGTACATTGGTCAACTAACCAAGTGTCGCCGGCATAATGATTTTCATTGTCACAAGGTTCGCAGCGGTTCTCATTCACGCACACACTGTTATTGAATACTTGCCCTGGTGGACATACACACATTTCGGTCGACAGTCCGTTACAAGTAGTTTCCCCAGATCGCAGAGCCTTGTAATTATCACAAGTTTCTTCGCAGCCAGACATACACGCCTTATACATTAAACCTAAAATTGTTGTACGGTGTTAAAAGGGAACGTGAAATGTTATCGCAAAATAAATAAATCTTTTACCCGGCGGACAAGAATAAGGACATAAATTTGGAGATCTCCAATCTAAGCATATACCAAATGACTGACATTCACGGACGTAAGCTTCTAAAGAGTGACAAAACGAGCCCTCCGAGCCTTCGCACAACATAGAATGGCATTTCTTAATGTGTACCTGTACGTCCACTATTGGATGGCATTGGCCAAATAGTTTAGTGTCCGTTAAAATAAGACATGGATCTATTTCCGGTTTAGGAATTTCACACGTATCCTCTTTTGTTTCGTTCTTCGTGACATAATCACACTTTTCGAATTCTAAAGGTTCAACGAAGTTAATAAACAATTTCATATTCAAACACACATAATATTTACCTGTTCCGCTAGCTTTCCAACTTTTGATAAACTCATCCACGTTACTAGGTATATTGCCATCAGGGGCTGCCATATCATCAGTAGAGTCGCCGTTACAACTTCCGCATAAACCTTCAGTTTTATCGTAATACAAATGCGAAGGCATTTTTATGGAAAACCCTTGATTCATAAACATAAATATGACTTCTAATTCTAGCACTGGTATATTTGCAATAATCGACTTTCCCGGAGACTCCGTAAGGGACATCCATTTGTTTGCAAATGGAGTACTGTTAACTTCATGACCATCGACGGTTGTTAAAATCTAAAATAATTAAAATACATTTTTCTCTGGCGATTTGGGCAGTTATACAATACAATTTTCAAAATTAATCTATACAACGCTTATACTCATAATTATATTATACATAACATTTAAATTTAGCAACGTTACCTTAGAAGCATCTGCGTTGTATGACAGACTTAATTTGTGAGCAGCATGGGTAATTGTTAAATTCTGAAGGCAAATCCCGTTATTGAGTAGTGGGCTTGAACACTTACCGGTTGTTTCCACTATCTAAAATACAGAAAAACAAAATTTGTGGTATCAATAATATGGAATGTTTGGCGTATATGTTACATCGTTCGAGTTCTATCATTCGTATATACATTATACATAATAACAACGTCATGCAGGATCAGACGAAGTATTGACTTGACGGTTTGAAATTTCAGATATATTTACAAAATTAATGGCGACAAAACAAGTTAAAGTCCTAGACCGAAAATAGGGCAATTTTCCCCCTTAACCACAGATACATAAAGTAATAATGACCAAAAGTCGAACCAACTACCGTCTGTAACTGCGCATTGTCGTCTCATCTCACCACACTCTTGACCTCTCCATTCGAAATGTATTTAACATAAAACGCTTATTGTACAATGATAATAATAATTAATAAACGTACGGTAAATCCTGGTTTCACAGAATCATTTTCTTTCGTGGTTTTTACTAAAACGTGTGAACAGTTCTGTCTGTGCACATAATCGACTTTGTCAAATGTCGTGTAGTGGCTAGTTCCGGATCCCTCGCAAACGCCTATAATGTGGTATTGAATTGAAATGTGAAAATGTAAAAAATAAACATTGTTTTTTTCTCGTCTTTGCATAATACTTACAGTTTCTACATTTTGAAGGTTTAATGCAGTTTCCATATTCTTTGATGTAACCATCGGGACAGTAACATCCGGGGAAACAATTTTCAGGCAATTTCGGACACGGGTCATTTTGTAATAGGTTATCACAACTAGGCTCGCAAGCTCGATTGAAACACTCTTTGAAGACAAACGGCGATTGACAGTTTACAGCTAAACAAAAAAAAAAATCACTGTTAAACTGTAATCAACTGTAGCCGGACCGTGAGAAGATTCATCAATGGTTGTTATTATTACGGCAGTCGTGCAACAGTCGCCAATCGGAGAGCTCTACACTTGAGTTGGTCGTGTAACATTGTGTCACAAGACCCGAAATGGCTTTACAACGGCATTCCGACATTTCACTTGCCGAGTTCTCCAAACAAGAACAAATACTCTCCACGCATTTCATGACGTATTCGTCGATGTTCACAAAATGTTCGCATTGGTTCAACGGTTCGGATCTGAAATACGTTTTACCAAAAATATTATTTGAACGTTCCCATTTAAGTGAAACAAAATTAAGAGCTACGGGGAAAAACGCTCATAGTCAAATGTACTAGTTCGATACCTGTAACGGCAAAGTAAGTGTAGTACACTACTGAAAATTTGGAAATATTGACCATTATCGTTTATCCTAGCAGCCCTTCAAATGAAGCTACATCAGTTACCTAAAAGCATCGCATGCTTTGATCGCTTCCTTTTGTACGTGTACAGGGCAAATCTTCGCTTCGCATTGTAAATTCGAATCGGCCCAAGAATGTCCGAACTCCGAAGTGGTTGATGCGATATCACCGTCACGTTTAAGCTTATCGTTTTTAGGGTTGTTATCGAAAAACCCGCAGAGGCCGTCCACCCTTCCGGTGTAGAAAGCGTTCAACTGCAACACAAAGCACATTAACACATCATTGACACATATCAAAGTTAAAATGTTACACTCGAACAGTAAACAATCAGCGGACTTGATGAAAATAACTATTAAAGAAACAATTGAAGAATATGTGCAGCGGCGGAAAGAGGCAACAGGTGCGTTTAACGACAAAAAGTGCGACTTACAATGAAAGAAAAACTTCTACAATACAAAATCAAAGCGACGATATTATTTTAATGTATTGGGTATTGTTTAAGGTTTCTTTTCCTCGGAAACTTTCAATTTCCTTTGGTGCTTGCTAAGAATGCTGTTAGCATTCTTGATCACAAGAGATTATATTGGAAAGAGCTATAGTTGATATTGGTGATCGAGAGTTTTTAATTGGCTTAACGTATGGTGCACTCTCGCGTGTAAAGACATTCAGCGGATTATTGTTAAAGCCATCTTTCAATTACGAATCGATTATTAAAAACCAACAACAGTAAAGCCATGGTAAGACGCCGGGATGAGATGCAGCAATTATGGAATTTATATCAAGAAAATTACATAAAAATGTATAGGAATACTTATTTTACTTATTAAGTAAAATTTTAGTTTTTGACTAATTTTAAAAACTAAAATGTATTTTTTCGTCTATGAAATTTTTGAGATAATAAATTGTGCTCTTAGTGTTACTACATTGTAATGAGTTGTGATAATAAACAATAATTATCTCACAAAATATATGACGATTTCATTGACCACCCACCTATCGCTCTGCCCAACTTTTGTCCACTGATACTCCTAGTTCACACCTACCTTTATTTTTACATTTCCATTGACTTGCCATATTATGTTGAAACCTAATGTACTAGCAAATATAATATAATTGGTCTGAACTTGCTTTACGGCAAACTGTTCTGTTTGACTTCCGATGGCTTGGAGCTGAAACAAGTATTTATTTATTTTTACAAATGTATACTTGCTATTAACTAGGAATTCGTGCAGAACAACGGTCGTGTAATATACACAACTAATTTATCATATTTTACTTGGTTAACTGTGTAATGGTATCCGTCAAAAGTAGTCGTCATGTTCGGGAAGAATTCAATAGTATGGTTTAAATGTTCAAGCCACAATGATTGTTGACAAGCGCCGACATATGGACAACGTCGGATTTCTAGTAAAAGATAATATAACAAATCAGGTAAGCAAATTATGATTCAATTTTTCAATGAAAAACACCTTTGAACGTTAAACACTTACGTTTGATTTTCCATTTATTGTGTACTCTGTCTCTGGAAATTATGTGATCACACACTTCATACTTGAAAACGGTCCCGTCGAATGTTTTAAATACCCTTCCGTCAATATCGCACTGACTTTCTTCTAGACCACTTGATACACATGTGTACACCGGGCAGATATCATGCTCGTTCGGAGTGATTTGTAAAAAGTAACCCTCAGGACATGCAATTAACGGCGTCTTACATTGAACTTGTTGCACGCGTGCTTCGCAAACCCATTGTTTGCAAATTGGCTCCTGATTTTCACTTTTAACTGCGCCCGATTTGAAGTTAACATTCGTCGCAGCTCCTTTTCTTCGTATGGTATTCCCTTTGGTGCTAAATATTGGATCACGGTGGTTTCTCTTCAAAGAAGCCGCCAAGTTGGTAACGGGACTGAAAGGAGATGGCCATGGATCGTCCGAAACGATCTCAGCGCTCCTGACTTTACGACTAGACTTCAGTGGCAACGTATTCAATATTTTTGCTATTTGTCCTTCGGGACATTTGATTTCAGGGCAAAAATGATATTTTTTTGTTTTTATCGGTATTATCGGAACGACATATTTAACTTCTTCCGTCTCTGATATGGTGCTGATGATATTAGCAGTAGTAGTAGTAGGCGGGGGTGGCGGTGTAGTTGTCGAGGTCACCGGACAATTCCTCTCGTCGTCAGCGCAATCTTGCACTCCATTGCACCACAGAGACTCATCCAAACAAACGTTAGACGTAGGACATAACTTAGTTCCGTTTTTACAAGGTTCACATTCACACCGGCAGCTCGATGACAAAGTGGTTGAAACCTCACCCTATACGTCAAAATAATCGTGTTGTAGATTGAACTGGCTTGGTTTATCTTAGTGTTTGATTTATTCTACTTACCGGTGGACAGGGTGAGCATACTTTTGGAGCACAGTTAGGCACTCCGCCTATAGTACACATACACTGCTGACAATTTTCTAAATCGTATACTGTTCCTATTTGATAAGTCATAACACCAATAACGCAAGGGCATTCAGAACGCAAGCCACAAGATTCGCCATTCCACCATTTTTCCGGAGAACACTTGCATTCGTAGTCTACTATTCCAGGACAAATGCTACAATTAGATGTGCTCACAACAGGCTTCTCGGTGACTTCGAACAAAACGGTTTGCGTGACAGAATATGCTTCAAAGCAACCGAGTATTTCCAATCTTAAAGCTGGCTTGTTGTGCCATTTTTCAGGATGAATTCGAATATATCTCGCTCGAATGGGAGTGTCCAAAAACATTTTTAGTGTACTACTGCTATCGAAATTCCCAGAAAATATCTAAAAGCATGAAATGAGATTTTATAGATGTATTTTGTAAAATTCAAATTTATTTAACTAACCTTTTCTTTTTCATTGGAGTCTAATATTTTATTCCAGTTCACCAAGTCGTTACTATAGATAACTTTGTAAGCTTCGACCCACGCTTCGCCAACTTCATTACCCAGAGGATTACCTTTCGTCACAATTCCAGTAATTATTCTTGGTCCGGTAAAATCAACCTGTAAATTATTACTTTTAATTTTATCTTTAACATTATACAATCGTTCATCTCAACATAAGTAGTTCAAGAACTTACCTGTATCCATTGGTTCGTAGAAGCAGTAAACGGTATCCATGACGTTGTACTGTTAAGTGATAAATTGTCAGAATGAAAGTCGTTATTCAGAGATGATGATACAGATATCATGGCATCGTTTAACAAACCTGATTCGATACCCATTGGCTCAGAGCAAACAGCTTTAAATACAAGTTATAGAAATTATTATTGTGTTCATAAAAAATTAAAAAATTAAATTTACATACGTTTGAGAGTAGGTTCAAGAGTTGTAGAAAATTCATGATTAAATGTAGTCGATTTGATTGGACATCCCAAAAGTGCCAACTTAATTGCTATCTCATTATGCCAACTCTTAGGCAGAACTCGTATATATCTAGCTTCGATTGGCGATACTAGTATTTGTTTTTCTACTTTATTATGAGCATGAGGTCCTCGGAAAATCTATTTTATAATTTTTATTTTTATTTAATTTGTTTGTGTTATTGAACGACTAAAAGACAAATGCTTAATACCTTCGGCTGACCGTTATACGACACGAAACTAAAGCCAACACCGTCTAAACTATGTGCCACGAGATAGCTAGTGACATATTCATCGTGTGTTGGGCTACCAGTTACTTCTATACCATAAATTGTTTCCGCCTGGCCCAAGTCCATTTGCAAGTACTCAGTTTCGCTAGATTTCGCTGGTCTCCAATATCCATTGTCTTCAGAATCCAACTGTGCGTAATACGGTTCAGTGTTGGAACTGTACCAAGAACTAGCGTTAAATGATGACGGTTCGAGTTTTGAAGATATACTTTCAACTCTATAAAAATAAACGCACAAATTTAAAAATGTATCATAATACAAAATGGTTAGGTATTCATTTTTTAAATCCTTACTGGTTGATATCACAATGGAGAGCCGGTTCAGATACTGTTGAAGGTACATAAACTATGTTGTGGTGTGTCGATGTTTCTAAATTTTGACTAAAGTAATCTTGTGTGTTGGCAGTACTTTGTGAAGTGAACTCTGTTGGCAGTTGACTGCTAGTTTCGATGATATTCGTTTTGCTTGTGAATTCGGTCGACGACGGCGTTGTCTCAGTAAACAGTAATGGCAATTCACTAACAATCAAATTCGGTGTCGAAAGCTCTTGGTTATTTGTCGTTTCGTAAGATGATGTAGTTGTGAATTCTGTTTTTTCATTGCTGAATATTTCATGAATTTTACAAGACGAGTCGTCGCACACATAAGCGTTGTTCAAACATTGGCAAACAGTGCACGAGTCTTCTTTATAAATACCACCGGGCTACAATATAAAAATGTCGAATGCTTTTTTTTAACACTATCGAATCTAAATAGCATGGTTGTTGATTGTAATTTCAATTGTGTCATACCTTCACTTGGGTACCGTTTCTGGAATAACAAGTGCAATCGCTCTTATGGACGCAAGTGTCTTTATCTCTCCACATCGAACCTTCTGGGCAAATATCATTCTGTTCAATTGTTTCAACGCAACCAGATATACAATGTTGCGGAGATTCGCAAACACTTGTGGTTTTTATTTCATTTTCGAATGACTGACAAATCTGATTGCACATGATCTTGCATTTTAAACCAACTGGACAAACTATAATGAATGTAAATAGACAATTTTAAATAACACTGATAACCATTAGACGAATATTTGAACTACACCAATGCGTACCAATGCGAGTTGTGTTTTTCTTTCGTTTTATAATGTCCAAATTGTCAGTCAACACTGAATTGTCCTCTTCCCCTGTATAATATAATAGATATCAACGAACTCTTATGTTTTTCATATCGGTATAATAATTCAATTTTACTAAGTATTCATTCTTACCTTCACATTCACAGTACACACGAACCTCGTAGTCGTTACATTTCCCGTGGCACGAAATTCCTTTATCTACACTACATTCTATATTTTCAGTAGTATCTTTTACTCCGTTATTTCCGTTTAATGAACGACATTGGATATTAGACACTTTTTCCGGAGAACACATACCTTGACCCTAAACAAATGATTAGCAATAAAATGGTAAATGCGCGTGTTCTATGCCGATTGTCCGTATAATTATTAATTACATTAGATTTCGTGTTCAGTATTTCTTCTATTGATGGCAAAGGCTGAAAGCCGGAATTGGTCCCATTGTTCTCATGACTTCTTTTTATCCAAACACTCCATCCTGACAAGCATTGACTTTCAACAACGGGTATTACATAACTAGGCGTCGTCAAAACTATTTCTGGCTCGAATGTTTGAACACAAGGCTGGCCTTTACAAATTTTTTTATTTCTCGAACAATAACTAAAAAGAAAACATGTTTTTAATATAAAAATCAAGTAAATGTTTTTTTGAAATCATACCATGTGTGACATTTGTCCTCAAAAACAATATCTCCCTCGTTGAATAGTTCATCGCTACCTTCGACTTTGCATGGGATTTTACAAGAGTTGATCGGCACGCATATTTTGGAAGAGACATTCAAATAAACTTGGCCTTGCGGACAATGAGGTCTAATACAACCTAAATATTTTCAAATCATATGGTCATTATCAAAACACATACCATTGATGGAAAATATGTACTCACCTTCTACACACAGCTTTCGGTCGCATAGTTCCGTTGTCCGAGACAAAAAGTCATCACACGACTTGAACGAACACGGCGAAATACACGATTCATAGGCAGTACCGTTTTCGCATTGGATAGCTTTAGGATGACAATTGCAACATTATATTATACTTATCGTTGAATTCAAAATAATTTCATATACTCACGACACATATCTTGAGATCGCCATTTAATATTAACGCCGTGTAAACTACATTCTTGTGCATAAGCTGCGATAGCTGTGCACAGACATTCGCAGTCGCCCCCTTGGTCGCATGCACATGTATCGAAATTACACCTTTGAATATAATTGTCAACCGAAACATGGGAATGACATGATTTAAACAGTGAGGATTTCAAAACACTACATTGTTTGTGCGCCCATTGTCTCCGGTGCGGATGTAGAGCACAAGCATCCTGTAATTAAAAGTGTAAATGTAAAAAATATTAATTAAATATTAAATTGATTCCTTTAATTCGAAAGTTGTTAATAATGTGTGAATAGGGTTTTACTCGAATATCGGTTGGCATCGCACAATAAGATTGAAGTTTCCAGGAATCGCCGAAAAACAATGACGACACTTCAGGCATTCCTCCGAAGGGAGTTTGGAAATCGTCCATTTGGTTATCGTTGTAATTTCCACATAAACCATTTACCTAGTTAAATATCAATTATACTCTTAGCCGAGTGCACGTTCACATTATTATTAGTTGTAATGTCCTTACGTGGCTTTTCCATTTTGGATCGAGTTGTAAGTGTACTCTTGTACCCTTATCCCAATGAATCACTAATCCAATGTCTGGCACATCGGCTACTATGAAAATTCCGACTTCTTTAACTTGTATTCTAAAAAATAAGTAAATAAACCTCGCCTTTAATCCCGGTTAATTATTTTTTACGTAATCCGCCTTATCAAATTGTCGTACCTCTTCAATTTTGGTAAAGAAACTATACTTTTCAAATTCACCGTGTCCGCTTCGTTACCATTGCCCACAGTTAGAGTTATTGATTTGATACAACTGGCTCCTGTCGATCCACACGGCACTACCTTTGATCAAGACGACAAACGGTCATTGAGAAACTGACGTTTTCATTATAACACGGTAACAATACAATTTAATACTTACATCTATCGAAACGACAAACGTATCATATGTCGTTAACGTTCCTTTTGCGAAAACATATTCACAAGCGCCTTGGAAATCGTAATAACGCGAGTCGAAAGTTTGAAAGTGCGAATCGCCCCAAGCCGTACAAACTCCATTGCATTCGTTTTTAGTACATTTCCATTTGCCCAAGTTACATTTGCTATATAAATATTATTATAACAAAAAAAAATATTCTTACTGCCATAATTATACTGTTATGCTATAAAAACAAATTTTTTAAAAATATTCACCAAGTATTACAGCCTTGATAATACGTCTCGTTGTTACTATAACTCTTACCACCGTGGTGGCAAGGACATTCACTAGGTAATACACATTCTTTGCTTAACGAATCAAGTACATACGGTTTTTTACAAATACAACCGGAATAGCAAACAGCAGGCGAAAATTGAGGCGGATCATGCATATTCTATAATTGTGTGAAAAATTATTAATTAATATTAACCCGGACAGAGTATCAGAAATATGGAAGACGACTTTATAGCTAATATTATGAATTGTTCATTAAAATACTTATTTTTATCAAGAAATTGGCACTTAACATTAGTAAAAAATATCATTTTTGCAGCAATTTGTTGAAACTTAACTTTAGTTAACTAAATGATCAAGACAGGTTTTTTTTCAAAAGCTGCTTAAATGAGCCTTCTGTAAAAGGAGTTCTATCGGATCAACAAGGATTCCCATTTAGCTTTTTTTAATTTGTGAACTATCACGTTATTCCTAGAAGTCAGAACCTATACGGAGAGCTATCTTCCCTACAGTATAGGTTAGGTTATGATACAAACAACGTACATGACATGTAATCGGTTCTGACGGTTCACACTCTGTAAACTCCAAATGTTTTCCATGATTACATGTATTTGGCCCAACTTCTTTCCACAAAGTTACTTCAGATTGTTCAGCGGCTCGGCATTCCCACGCTGCACTTTTACATGTACATAAACGCGGTTCTTTGTTAGATCCTTCGATTCTTTTTTGTTCGGACATGTACTTTTGACCGTTATTATAACAAGGACATTCGGATATGGGTATACATTCACCAAACTCTGACAATGCTGATCCCGGCGAACAGTAACAACCTTCCACGCAATTTGATTTACACGCATTTATTGTAGATATGTCGCGGCACGTACGCTGACATGAATTTCCACACGGGCTATAATGTTGGCCAGCTGGACATTGAACGCCTGTTGAATACAACACAGTCTTAGGGATGTGATTTATATTCAATTAACTTAAATAACGATAACAAAAATTACCGCATTCTCTCGATTCTTTTCTCCAATCAATGGTCAAACCCTGATGAGCACATTCTAGGGCATACGAAGCTAATATCTGACAGTAACAACGTGAAAATTGTCCCGGTTGACAGGAACACATATCATATAAACAGTCCTCGTAATAAGCAGCTGGATCTACTAGAGTGTGACAGTCCGAGAACTGCTGACCGGTGATATTCCTACAGTAGTTCTCAGCAATGTGTTTGAATTGTATGTTTGCGTCGCAAGGATGAGGCGCTTTTAAAGCAACTTCTAAATTGCCGTTTTTACAGCTTTCTTTGGTTTTCCACTTGTTGGCAAACGATACAACATCTGTTTCGATATCTCCTTCGGGAGTTAGCAGGTCTTCTTTTTGATTTCCGTTGTATGTTCCACACAGTCCCTAAAAGCGATGTGACACTTTACGAACCGCTATTTTAAATAAATATTAAATTAAATATTATACTTTACCTTAGTTTTACCCTGGAGCTCAGGGCTGGCGTGAATGTAAAGCCTCGTCTCTCCGTCCCACAACACTTCGATGCCGTTTGTCAGCATCACTTGTAAGAAGAACGTCGAAAATTCCCTAATGTAAGCTACATCTAGCACAATAACCGGTAGTTTATCAACGATTTCACCATTAACCGACACCAATTTGTTTTGCCCTAATTTTATCGCAGTACTATTCCCAACGCGTATAGTTACGGTTTTAGTGCACGTGGCTTTTCCCAAGTACGCGGGTGTCTCGTAACCGTATTCTTGAGACATTGTACCATCACAAGGTATATTTTCTGCCTCTATTGCGAACTCGGGCAAAACAACGAGATAATACGAGCACGCGCCCATAAAGTTGAATTTCATTCCATCAAAAGTCTTATAATGTGGATCGCCTATAGCATAACACTCTGCTTGACATTTGGCGTTAGTACAGCTCCATTCACCTCCAGTGCAAGTGCTTTAACAATATTAATGATCTCAGACTTGCGAGCAAGAGTTCGAAGAAAATTATGTACTATATAATTATATTATATTCTCACCATTTATTACAATCCTTGTTTATGACATCTCCGGGCTTATAAAATTGATTTCTCATTTTACACGGACATTCGTCTTTGGATATACATTTTCCATTGTCTTCGACGGTTCCTACCGGACAGATGCACCCTTCCTCGCAGTATGTATTGTTGTTACTGGGCTTAACGTCGAATGGCATAGAACATGTTTGCTTTACAGTTGGCAAACACTGTGAATACACTTTACCGGCGGGGCACCTGAAAGCTATAATTAAACAACATATTGAATAAACATCTGTAGAATACTTGCCAAATGCATTTGACTTTTGTTACTAACGACATAGGGTTTCGTCTCGCCAAGCCATCGTATTTTGATCATGACCAAAACAATCTTTCGCATAAACGGCTATACTGTTACAACCACATTCGAGGTCGTTTTTCGTAACACAATAACTGTAATCTCTTTTGCAGGCATCTATATACGCATCGATACTTGTCAATTGTTTGTCTTTGCAGACTTCGAAAGGCGCCTTTTTTAACGCCGAGCAAAATGTTTCGGCTTTGACAAAAACACTGTTTGTGACGTTAATTATTTCGTCAACGGGAGTGTCACATATTTCATTGAACCCGTTTACAAGCCATTTGCTGGTGAACTCCGAAACACTTTTGTGCGACAAATCGTTATTCGGCAGACCGTCCATGTTGCCGCAAAGGCCGTCCGTCGAGTTCCAGACTTCAACGCCCGCGTCTAATTGTAAAATACCCTAAACATTCGCGTCGAGTTAAACACTGCCAACGAGCACACATACTATTTCTTATTATAATGACCACTCAATAGCTTACGTTGGATTTCCATAAGATGTTTATATTCGCATTGCGCAAATGGGTTAGCACTGTTTGTCCGCCGATAACTTCAACGCCAATATCTACCAACTCATTTGGAATCGAGACCGGCTTGTCATTGGTCATAAGCGTTACACTGTTATCATCTAGAAGAATAATGAATATCCATTAGTGTTGAATATTTTATTGCACAGCATATTTGTATATTTATATAATATTAAAATGTTATCTACTGACCGTTTCTCTTCAGTATGTATAGATTGTCCCCGATAAATATGTTGATGTATTCGACAAGACCTTGTCGGGCACGTGCTTGAATATGGTATAAATTCGATTTAACATCACTAACCAGTGTGAACGTGCATTCGCTGTGGACACTATAAATTGCTCCGTCAAACGTCTTGAAATTACCATAACCCCACCTTATACAGCTGCCAGCACGTTTTTCATATTGTTCAGTGACTTCAACGACCGAGGTGATAACTTTCATCGAGATCGGTTGGTTAGCTGATATTTTGAAACAAAAAAGCGCGATTTTTAATCAAATAACCAAACACAGTATCAACTGAGGTTCAAAATAAAATAAATTAGTTGATAATTGATCACTCACCGAACACACATTGCGGTATTTGTTTCGGTTCGAAATTCCCAGTCTCATACAGACAAGTGTACTCGACTTGTGCTGTACCGAAAGGTTGCAGGGTAGACCCTTGGGGACACCAGAGCGTGCATTTATTCTTGTCTTCATCGCCAGAACATTTGTAATTTCCGTTGAAATTCAATTTCATTACGTCACACGAACTTTCCGCTAAAATTCGCAATATGTAACTCAAATTAGGATTGTTGTGTCGCGCTATGTGAAATTGGAAATTAAATCAAACACTTACGGTATTGGCATTGGAAACCTCGAAAATTTATTGGACACTGACATGTTTTCGGACTTATGCAGTTGCCACCGTTCAGGCAAGGAGGTTCGCAAATAGGAACACAATTGGGTACAATAGTCCACTGGACGTTACTCGGTGACCAAATTCCACCCTTACAAAACACATTCGTTACAGATGATCCATCGGGAAATTGGTATCCTTCAATACAGCTAATCTTGCAAGCACTGTAAATGTACAACAGTTCAACACGATTAATTATGTTAAAAATCATAATAAACTAAAATCTATCGCGAATCGACTCACCCCGCTTTACATTTCTTTTTCGAATTCTTCGGTGTGTTTGGAAATCCGTGACAAGCCGGGCTTGGATGTTTCAAATCTGTATTTAATGCAACATTATTTTCCAATGGTCCACCATTTGTCTGCGAAGAATAATCGATTTTCTTTTCTGTATGTTTGCTAAAAATATCATACCACAATCATTATAACTATACATACAAAAAACACACGGTTGTACATCATAAATATAATAGGTATAAAAAAAAATAATCATTAAAAATGAAAAAGTTCTAAATTATTTTTTATAATAAATATTTTATTTTTAAAATCAATTTTAGCTAAAACAGTAATGGGTCTCTACGTCTGAACACTTCTGGACATATTAGTCCAAGCAACAAGCTTGTATAATATAATGTCACTTCTACGATACTCGTATACTCTACATAGGTACATTTTATTGTAAATATTAATCGATTTATTTATTAATAATTTGAAAGAAAAATTATAGTTTTAAATTAAATTTAACGAGGACGTCATGCCCTTTAAATGTTATCGTAAAAACGTGTAGATTAAATTAAGATTTTACAAAAAATCGCCTAAACCTAATTTCTTAGTATACAGAGGGTATGACTTCCTCTTAACGATTTTGGTTATTATTTGTAAGTTGTGTACTTATTTTCATTACTTGATTAAATTTTCCGAAGTTACGTTATAACCGGAATTTTTAAGAAAACTGGAACGCTTTATCTGACATCGTTCTCCTGTGTAATTACCAACGCATTTGCATTTGTTTGGTCCTTCACAATAACCACCATTTTCACAAAGCGCATCACAAACGGCTGTAAAATGAGAAACAAACAAATCAAGAACATTCAATTAGTACATAGATTGATGGACCACACGGTATACTTTTTTGACAATTATTTTTATAGCTTTTGCACACATGGACAAACCAACGAATGTATGTTTTAATTTATACAACATTAGGTCTATAACGACGCTACTAAATAAAACATGTGATATGGTCTATGTATACATATATTTTAATCTATGAAAAATTTAATAATCAGAGATGGCAAACAATGTCAACAAAACCTCACAAAGGGTTTTAACTAAAAATGTGGGTTTTATCAAATTTAGTAACCTCTACGAGGAGAGCAGTGATGGGCAATTAAATTTTAGAAGAAAAAAAATGTATGTATACTCAAAAAAAAAAACGGATTTTTGCAAACTATTATTATAATTATTATTAATATTATCTATTTTAGAGTAACATATTTACGTTTGCATGACGGTATATCGTACTGTGTTGTTCCTTTTACTTTGTACTTGTCACCGTCACACACTGAGATTAACTTAGAATTTCCTTTCGAAAATTCGTATCCATCGATACACGTTACACGACAAACTCTGAATAGATTTTAAGAAATGTATTTATATATATCATACAATTTTTTTTTGAAGTCTCATAATAAAAAATCTACTTATTTTCTCTTGGTTATAGACGAGCAAAGCGATTGGGAGTTATTCAAAACTTTGAATGTCGTCCTACACGTTTCTAATTTGGCTAAAAAATGAATAGGTTGTATAGAATTCAACGAAACAGTAATATATATATATATATATTCTAGAACGTCAGGGAAGTCTTATAGCAAATCGGTTTAAATTTAAGTTGTCTGTAATTCCTTCGATTTTTGTTTAAAAAAAAAAAACTTAAGTCTACTACCTATGTATTCTCGGAAAAAAATTCTGCTAGATCAGTAATTATTATTAAGAGTCTGTAAACATTTATTTGTAAAAGTCAGCCAATAATGTTATTTATAAAATAAATAACAAAATTATAATACATTTAAGTATACATAAATAGTATGCATACCTTTTAATTTGTGATTTCAAAACAAATTTACACAGCAATAGCCAATATAACAAATTTAAAAATATGATTTGTTGAAATGTTTTCAATATTTTTATCGGTTTATTTTATAATCGACCTGAACTATTATATTAAGTATTTTGATAACTTTTTCTTACAAATTAATTTATTACAAAGAAATAATAATTATTAATGAACTTGTCACGAACCTTTTGTTTTTTTGATTGTATTTAGACCCGTTTTGTTTGCAAATCGTTTGTAGCTAAAATTAACAACATAAAACTTAAACAATGGCTTTATTTTATGTTATCATTATAAAGAATGGATACATACTCTGGAAATACGATAGATTGGCTGGGTGGTTGATCATTTGAAAATTCGCTAAAACAAAAAACAAAAGTTCTAATTTGTATTCGAGGTTAATTTTTAAACATCACGTACATTGAGAATTCTCAACAAAATTATTAGAATTATTATTGTCTTAAATTTGTTTATTAAAGTAAATAAAAAGGCAAAATGTCATACCAATAATGCTAAAACCTGATGCTACTTTCCAGAAAGTCTATCAATTGGATTTCAATTTTTTTTTTTTGTAAAGCTTTTAACATCAGCTACTGTATGAGGGCTAAAATAACAATTTTCATTTTTGTAATTCATGTGCTTTAACTCTTGCTCCACGCATGGCTACTTTTTGTACGAGGATGACAATATATCGTTTAAAAATCGTTCTAATAAAGTAAACTTTGAAATTCGTTCAAGAGATGCGTCAAAGAGCGATTTTACAAAAGTTTTAAAAATAAAAATGTATATATAAATTGTTTATTGAAACATACTATACATTATTATACACACTTATAAATTATAGCCATTTGCATAAGTGGAATAATATTTAAAATACCTCTAAGATAATTTTGGACAAATTTTGCTTCTTAATAAATACCACTTACAAGTATATTATATTATGATAAATTTTCATATATAAATTATTGATATTATTTGTTCTAATAATAAATTATTGAACATATTTAATATAAAAAATGATTTGAATAACTTTGTTTTATAATTTATTTAAATAAATACTTCTCTTAATAGTTTTTACACTAAATTATTAAAAAAAAAAATTACTCTATGTTTCATAAATATTTTATACTATATTATAAACTGCCTCCTAAATTTAATGTTTATGCTATTCAGTAGTCATAGAAATTTTGATTTTCTAAATATTTTTCGCTTAATATAGATTGTAATAACTATATTATAATATTGTAATTTAAGGGCTCTGCGGTGATATTATTTTTATAATATTGACAGTAAAGGTAATTAGAATTAAGTTTACTAAAACATCAAGAATGATAACATTAAATACAATTATTTATTGTAATTTATTTATTCAATAATGTTTTAAATGTGTTTCTTTTTATGTGTAAAAACTTGAACTGGACAATTACCTAATAAGCCAACAACATTGTTTTTGAGGGAACACCAATCACCATATATATATATATTACTTACTGTAATTTTTACTATGGTTACTAGTATAGCCTATAGGTATTATGATTAAAGTAGAGAAAAAAAATTTCAATGAATTTTCATAAGTATTTTTAATTTAGTTTTATTAAAATAAATGTGCCTTCAAATCGTTTTCTGTTCGAAATATAATCGTGTTAGAAAAATAAAAATAAACAACTGTGCGTCTAACACAAACACAATGTCATATTTACATGACAATGCCGTTTAAACATTTTTAGAATATTAATATATTTAAATAATACTTTGTAAATAACATCATCGGAACAATGAATTCGTGTCAAAACTTCATGTACGGATATTACAAATTTCGTACTTTTAATAAAATATTACAAACCCGTTTGTAAACACCGAGTGTACTTAACTTTTTTCGCTATTTCAGTTACAAAAATATATGATCCAAAACCGAAAAACAAAAAACTCATGTACATTCGACGTACCTGAAGTCTGATACGGTGTCTGTATTATCGTCCAACGCTACATCGGTGTACTTGACGTTTTCTGGTGAACCGTCTCCGGCTGTTACGGCCAGGCGACCAGCAACGGCGGCAATCAGCAAGAGTGACTTGATCATTGCCAATAATAATTATTTGGTAACGACAAAAAAATCACATCGGAGCTCAAAAATACTGAAAAAAAAAATGTTGTCAAGAGTTCTGAATTAGGTGTGCACAGGCTTGATGCACAAGTTGATCACTGAATGTCCGTGTACTCCGCGTTGGATTTGTTTAAATACCGGGAAGAGTTTGCAGGAAAGACTAAAAAAACACAGATACGGAAACTAGGGCAATATATTTTTTATGTTGACATTTCGCGACGCCGGTGGAAAATCCTCATGCGTGGGATATTGGCGCTTGATAATAGGTCACTTTAGATAAATGTGCTTATTTTACGGTACATGTACACATGATCGATTTTGTCCCGAGTTCTTGCACGAATCACAGTGAAAGACCTTTGGCCGGAATGGTTTTAATTTTGTTTTGGAGCTTAAACGAAAAAAAAATTATTCTGATTTTAACTATGCATAGAGAGACCGTACTATGGTATAAAAATAAGACCGTAGAAAGTGTACATTTTTAGTTTTATCTAAATTTAAAATAATAATAAGTCGAATATTATATAATATGAATTTATTTGACTCCAAAAAGAATGAAGGACTTGTTGTCCTTATACGTACATTGTGCCTAAGTGCATATTTTGTTCCTTTATTTTAACTATAAAAGATCATTACTATAATAATGTATATAGTGCTAATGATCAATATAGTACACTGATTAATATACTTTTTATCCGTTTAGTAAATAAATAAATATTATTATATTTAAATTTAACATAATATTTTTAGAGCTCACTGTATCGTTCACTTTGTAACACTGCTTATGAACTATAGTTTACTGCCTCCGAACAAAAAATACTGAATACTTAAAGAGCTCCACTGTAAGATGTATGGGTTGAAATCTATGCTCGTACAAACATGTTAAATTATACATGGCCAAAACGAATAAAGGTTTTCGTCAACAGACTATAAGAACATACTATAAGACAATAATAATATTATTATTATTATTATTATGGTTAATTGCATTTCATCTAGCAGTATAATATAGATAGGACTCAATAGAAGTGTATGCTCTAAAGAAAAAACCGAAATATGCATTTATTTATGCGTTAACAATAACTTGTCTATGCACTTTAAAAAAATGTATTTTTAAATATTTTCATAAAGTCTACATACAAAAAATTGAGTATAAAATATTAATTTATTAATAAATTATAAAAAATAGAATTAAAACATTTTTTTTTTATTTAAATAAACAAAAATGAAACAAATATAAATATTTATTTTGTTCTATAATTCTCTATTGTTCTAAAAAAAATAGTTTTATATTGTTATTTATACTTCCTAGGCCCAATCATGGAACATGTCTATTGTATAATGCATTATGTACACCAGTTCATACTTAATATTATTCATACTACAAAAGGGATGCATTTAGAGTTATTATGCCAATTTATTGCAAAATCATTTCTGAAGGAATATAATAATATGATAACGATAAATCGTACAAACAAGGTTAATAACGAGTAACGACACATTTTTTCACTTATTTTAAATTCGATAATAATATTTTATTAAAAAACATTACACTTGCGAAATTTAGGCTAGTGAAAAATAATCGCAGGTTTTACTGATAGCAAATTTATCATAATTTCATAATTTAGTTTTCTGACTGGCTGTTAACCAAACACCAACAGACTTCTGATTTATCATAATGACCTAAAAAGCTAGCCGCTGCCCGTAATGCCGGTGCTTGGTAGTTTTAGCCTTTTAATAATAATATGAAAACGGAAAGGCCTGCTAATTGAGGAGCAACAGATTAATTAAATATAGTTCGGTAATATATTATTATTCTAAGCTAAAAACTTCTTGGATAGTCGAACTTATATAATTAGGTACCAGAAATACGAATTTCGTCTTAACTCTTATATTCATACTATAATGAAGGTATTTTTTATTAAAATTGTGTATCATTTGATTTATTTGGAAAATTATTCACCTACCCTTTATTCTTATTGAATGTAGAGCCACCACATACCCACCTAAGCAGTTAGACAATATTCGAATAATTTTTTTATCGCAATGAACCGATAAATAACAAATTATTTTTTATTTGATTATACATGACAAATAAATTTGTTATTTGCTTCAAATGATTAGTCAAACGCATCTTTTATTATTAACGATTAAATGTATATTATATATATTTTATTATTTTATTCCATACCTATTATATATTTTATTTTTCTTTATTTGGGCGTTTAATTATGTTAAATGTCTTTTTTTTTTAATTTCCATCACTTTCGAATTATGCAGAGTTGGCGTCGTTGGTGAAATGAATACACCCTGTATTAATTTCAAATAACAACAATTTTACCTCCTTAGTGAAATCAAAAAAAAAATAAAAAATTACATTTAATACCTTTATATTAAAGTGACAGTTTAATATTTTATGAACATTATTGTATTTTATAATCTAATTCTATTTAATTTTCAGTTTTTGCTTAACAAAAAAGTTGAATACGGATTTTAATTCATTTTATGTTTTAGAGTTACACTAGATCTTTCTAACTCTTCCAAAGGAAAGAAATAATGACATTTCCTTGGGTAAATCGATTATTTTTAAATAAGTTATAGCGTGTCATAATTAAAAAAGTTTTTTAGTTTTTGGTCAATACCAATTTATAGACTTGCTATGTGAAGAAATCAGTCTACTGGTTAAAAAGTTATCATGGATTGACATAAAAAAAAAAACACATCATTGTGAAAATACCTTCTCAGCTCCGCATTGAAGCTAAAATAATATAGCAAAATATAAGATTATAACAACAGTTTTATTACACTATATTATAATATAACAAAATGTATATTATATTTATATTATTTTTAAATATATGTTATGAAATAAAATATACAAAGTTACAAAATATACTATAGTACACGCTTTGGCTGTAAATAATGCCAAATAAAAAATAATATTGCTAATTTGTTTATTTACACTATATATGTAATTGGAAGTTTATCGTCTTTTCGTATACAAAAGCCAAATGGCTCTTGTATACTCGACGATCATTTACCAACACGTACGAATGAGTCATCGATAAGTTCTTCGTCTGTTATGGAAGGAGAAGCAGAATGCGGAGAAGGTTCTAGCAACGGCGAGGGAACTGGGGACTTGAGAAAATGTAAGGACACAGAGGGTGTAGCCGAATAGGTCGTCACTGGTACAACTGGCTTCTGTTGGTAATTAATTGTGCTCGGTAATTCTTCTTTCTTTTGAGAATAATCTTTGCATTCAGAAATTTCTACAGTGGTATCTGCTTTAGGTGCATGAAAAGATATTAAAGGCATGTCGATTTTCAGACTATTCAGTATAGACTCTTTAGGTTTGCCAGCAGCTCGTTCTTCTACCGTCGTCACAGTGATTCCGGGAAGCGAGTTCAACCGCTCTGTAGTGCTTTTTTTCTGACTCAAATAATCGTGTTGACCATACTTTTTGTCAGTATCACTCTTTTTAGCTAAATCTATAGGTTTTGAATCAGTCTTGATCGCTTCAATACACTTTTTTTCGTCCATATTAACTCTAGCCGATAATTTTGGAATTTGAAATTTCGTGTCTAATTGCTTTATGAAACTATCAACAGGATTTATTACTTTGGGAGGCTCTTCTTCCTTGGACGTCGGGCTAGATTTTCTCATCTCGGCCCTTGCAAAAATAGATTTCTCACTCCGTACTTTACCCGAAACAGATTTTACTTTAGTTACGGTCAAATTGGATTTAGTCTTTGGTGCACTAAACGGTTTTGTTTGCGAAGTGCTTGGATTCATTTTGGAAAGCGTGTAGGTAGTCTTTTTGCTATTCATACTACCAGAAGTGCTCAATTTCTGACCTGATTTAGGGGAACTCGTCAGTGAACTTTTTTGTTTCGATTCTTTCATTCTAGTTTTGTTTATCGTTATTTTCATACCGTCAGAACTATGCTTGACCTGATACGACTCGGGATTCTTCAAACTCATACTAGAATTTAAAGACATTGCCTTCTCTGATGTCTTCAGAGTCGATTCTTTGGCTTTAGGTATGTCAGAATCAATAGAATAATGCAATGTAGTTTTATCCTTAGACAAACGATCTATTACAGCATTTAACTTTCTACATTTCGCTTGTGCTTTGTTCGGTTCAGCGGGTATTGGTAATCCGGCATCCTCGATATCACTTTTTTTAGTGCTCAAAGACTTAACACTTTTGGGACTTTGGCTAAGAGAAGAATTGCTAGAAGCATAATTTCTCTTCTCTTTGTTGTCTTTTGAAAAATCTTTGTTTTTCTGCTTTGATTCACTTTTAGGACTATGGACAGACATTTTTAACGCGGACAAACTTGGCTTGCCAGAATTTGATTTTGGTGATGTTACTGCATATTTAGAATTGGATAAGGACACACTGCTAATAGATAAAGTTGGGGAAGTACTTTGTTTTATTTTTTGAGTGGAGCCCAATTTCATCATCATAGTGCTCGAAGGCAATTGGTTAGACACGTAATCACAAGGCGACGACGATCGACTAGAATCTGACATCTTAAGCGAGCCAGAGTGTTTTTTCACTTTTTCAGGTACAGTCGACTCCGCTTCTAATTTCCTCTTTCTTTTCTTTTCTGTTTTACCATCATTACCGTCCTTTTTGCTCTTTTTAGATTTTTCTTCAGCTATAGTTTTGGCCGAAATCGGAGTTATGGTAATCGAACTAGGTACGTTAGGTATAGGTATGACTTCAATATTAGGTCTCCTATCTACAGACACCTGTGGTAAAATTTGTGGTGACGGAATAGAGCTTAAATCCACTGCCGTTATGCTGACAGAGGGAGACTGATGGATTTTGTCTAACTGAATGTCTTTTTTCTCATCACCCTTCATTTGACTTTTTATAAACTCTTTCACATCATTAAGATCATTGAGATCTCGCCCATCGTCGTCTATATCATAAACCGATTGATTTTCAATATCGGGAGAGTCAAATTCACCCGATATCGACGAACTGCTTTTTTCTATAGAATCTTCACTGGACGATTCAATAATAACTTGACCAGTGTCTGGGGGAGGTGGCTTCTCGTCTTCACCTTTCCCGTTATCGTCGTCGAGAATACTTATAAGTTCTTCAGTTTTTGTAGGTGAAAGCTTAGGGTTCTGATCAGGCGGATCTTCTTGAAGGCTGGCATCCCTAAAAGACGACTGCTTTTTCTGGTCTTCTTGATCGACATCCATCGGAAACTGATTAAAATCCACATCCGGTAAAAAAGTCGGATCTGAAATCAATTGGTCTATATCCCTTTGATTTATGGATGCTGGAAAACAATCAAGAGGACCGTTTCCATTTAGAGGTTCGAGCTTTACATCGAGGTCCGAAGAAAAGTCAGGACCAGAAGAAGGGTCGTTAAAATGTTGATTTATGTCGGAACTATCTCCTAAATTAGTTGATCCTCCTGTTCCCGACAAGTTATTTTTCATATCTGTATCGAGAGGTTGCTGGTTTTCTCTTTCCCAAGTTTGAATCAAACTTCGCATTGTAATTGGAATGGAAAAACATCTGAAAAAGATAAAATAATAGTCATCATAATTAAAACTAACTTGTTTTTTTGATAAAAATTGTTGATTTTCGTAAATTAAACTAATATTTATTAATTTGCAAAACATTTTAAAAGACAATTTGTATAATATAAATTATACCATTTTTTATAGTTTATATTTTTTTATATATAATTTACAGTTTTTGATAATTTCAGAATGTTTGTTTTGAAAATTATTTTGTTGTAGTTTATTATTAAACTGCACAATAACATTATTTTTTTTTATAATTTTTGTATTTCTAGTTAAACTGTAGTTAATTAATAGGAACACAATATAATATGTTTACTCGCTAAGAAAATATATGTGAACTAGTTGTTGCTGAATATATTTTAGACACTATTATGAGAATTCTGACCTTTGTAAGACTTTGCTTGCAAATTCAGGAGAGCTTAAAACAGACTCTCCGTTAGTTTCTGATGATGATGTGTACACTTCGCATTTTAGATTAGATATATCTGACAAATCAAATTCGGCTGTTGCGAGACTCTCTTCGGTTGGATGTTCAAAAGACACGACTAAATGCTGCCAAGACATCTCTTCAGCAGCAATTTCAAACACCATTGTGTTGATTATTTCTAAAAAAAATTAATTTAAAATGTTAATATTCTGTTTTTAAGCTAACAATATTTTTTCAGCTGAACTCTCACCTTGCTGACATTCAGGTCGTACACAAGAACGAATCAAACAATTGAACAATGCTTGCTGCCTAAGATAAGCTATAATTCTAGGAACTTGTGATGGATGGGTAAATTTGATATTTTGTATAAACACGCCTTTGAGGTTGGAGTCTGTCAAAAAATAACAGTGCTGCTGGTCTGGTAAGGTCTACAATACAAAATAAAAACTTTTTTAAAAATCTTTCCTATTTCAACACTGTTATTGTGAAATTAAAATTTTGTCTTACAACACTCAATGGCTGAGAACTGGGCTCGATGATCATCTTGAGCAATGATCTGGGTGTTGACATTTCAAGATCCATTTCAATTACAGCTTTGATGTTTTCAGCCAGTTGAAGACACACGGGCATAGGTTCGTTTAATCGTAACACAAATACTGCAGGTAGAGTAATACTGTTTTGAACAGTAAATGGCATAAACGTTGGCGTACTAATCGTAAAAAAAAAAATATATTCTCTGTTAAGCAACTTATGTATGTTATGTTATTTAACAGTTATTCAATACTATATTACAATAATACAACCTTATTCCATTTGAACTTCTTGTAGCGCTTAAAAGAGAAGCAGACTGAACATTTGTGCTGTTTGCAGCTTCAATACATACTGTAGCATAGCATCCAACATCTAATGTGTCTTTATCTAAATTCTTCATTGTACCGTTTTCGACGTCCAATAAATCGTAGGGAGAAACAAAATACATTATTTTTAAGGGATGGCCTAAAAAACAAAAATGTTGTTTTACATTTTGTTTTTAAATTTATGGTTGGTTTGAATTCAGTACCTCCTCTTCTAGGTTTCACTACGCCTAGAGGAGTTTTATGCACCAAAGATATTAAATCTTTATGATAGGTGTAATGCACTTGAGCAAATGTCTCCAAGTCATCTTCTAAAGTCTGAAGAGCATTGAAAGCGCGGCATTTAGTGATTTTATCTGCACTTATTTGGTAAATAGATGCGAGGCCTTCAAGTTGAGTGGTAAAATCTGCAAAGTCACAGTTGGCAAGACTCTTAATTAAATCAGCACAGCTCTAAAACAGATTTCAAAATCACTGTTACACACATAAGTTAAAAAAAGACAATATATTATATCTATATAAAAGATTGTGCAATAGAAAAGTCGCATAAAAAATAAATTTATATTTTACATTAATAGACAAAAAAAGGCCAAATGTTTAAAAACTAAGTTTTGCGACGCCAGCTGAAGCTTCTTGCCATTTAATTCAACACAGTTGCTATACAAATTTACTGAAAATGTATAGCAAAATGAAATGGAGGCGATACAAAAACGAACAAACACTTTATACATTTAGATCATAGCCAAAAATTAATATTATGTAATACTACAATATGTGCAAAAGTTATTTTTACTCAATATTATTTTGATAAAAAATATAATTTACATTTTTTGCAACTTCCCTGTTCTATTTGAAACAAGTAACAAAAACAATTTTAGGTAAATATAATGTTATACAGAAAATATTATTTTACAATTATTAATTAAAGGCTATTAAAAAAAAAAAAAATTATGACACTATTATTATTTAACTTTTGAATAGTCACATTAAATTATACCAAGATTAAAGACATTTTAATTTATAACTCTGTCAAATTAAACTGTTTTAAAATTAAGACTTAATTATTAAATTCATATAAATATCTCAAGTTATTATAATTATTCATTTATCTATTATAAAGAATAATTTTTTATACGATATATTATAAAATTTAATAAATACTACTTTACTAAACACAAATGTAAAAAAAAAATGTTTGTTTTATTAAGACTGTGGTTTTCAGTTACATTAAAATTAAGAAGTGTTTAATTGGTTTAGATTTATTTTGGCTCTTATGTAGATATTTAAAATATTTAAAATTGTGTAAGGTAACAAGAGTGGATAAGTTGTGTAAACCGTTATTAGAAATAAATACTTAAATATCAATAAACTTAAATACTCTAAATTGTTGTTTTTAAATATTTTAATTGTTTAATATTTTACCTGTGGTTCTGATTTTCCGTCATGATGAATTTTTACATCCTTTACACCACCATTATCTTCTAATATAATTTCCAAGTAAAACATGTCTGAAGATACAAAAATGTCTTTACCGGATGGACCGACGGTAAATTTTAAACTAAAATATAAATCAAAATTAATCACGTTTGTATCAGTCAAATACACAAGAAGTTAATCACAACATTATTTTACTTTATATCATAATAAATAAAAATAATTTTGTCAAGTTATTGAGGATTTGATTACCAATGCATTATGAATTATGATACTGCCCATTGGATTATAACATGTAAGAATATAATGAAAATTGTATTCATATTAACACCCCAATACTACAATCTTTTTCTCCGTTCTTGTTTCTTGTCATAACAAACATGGCCAAATCATCTTATTCTAGTCTCTCTTATCTTCTCTTTAATAGGCGACAAACTTAAACTCTCTCTTATAAATCTATTCCCTGTTTTATCCATTCTAGTTACTCCATGATACATTCACCTTAACATCGTCATCTTCGTCACAATCATACTAGTGGTGATTATTCTTAATTTTTATATGTATTCTTATAAGTTCAGATAAAAAAATAAGTAAATAATGGTTATTTCAATAAGAATCCTAATGTTGAGTTTATTTATTTGTTAACATTACCCATTAATTATAAATAATAAGTATAATACAACATTTTGTACTCAATTAAAGGTATTACCTAAATACTTAATAGATAGCTTTATTATTTTAATGTAATAAATAACAGTTAAACAATAATTACCCTAAATGTCTGCTAACACTGTCCAAACGTTCAACCATAGTCTGCAACGTAGTTACTTTAATATTTTGCTGCAATAGATCAAGTGACTTTTGAACAAGATTCTTTTCGGCTGGGTCAACATTAATTCTTTTTTCCTGTTGAAAAAAAAATTACTTTTAATGTAAAATTATACTATTAAAAACTAAAAAACCGTATTTTATATTATGAGCGAGTCAAGAGAAATATTTAATAATTATTACAGCATTGTTCGACGTCTCTTATAAAAAGTAACATATTTGAACTTCCTCTAGGAGATCTAAACACGTTTAGTTAACTACCAACATTTAATTTTTTACTGACACAATTTATTTCGCAAACTCATAAGTTAAAGCTACTTGTACATTGTGAATTATCCTCGTGTGGTAGTGGTACCTTCATATGATACGTAAGCCGTCTGCGGCACCACCTACTACTTATATCCTAAAGTGACAGTCAGACAATTTTATTTTAAAAAATATAAGAGAATAATAATGTTTTAAGTAAAATATGAATTTTTGTACTTAAATTAAATTTTAAATCCGTAAAATAAAAAAAACAAAAAATATGACAATAAAAGGCCAAGTTCATGTAGCTATAATTTCAAAACTAGAACAGTCTGCGGATTACTGACATCGAATTTGTTATCACCCAAATAAAGAGTGCCCGGTAAACATACGTTATTAATAATTAAAGTTGACTTACCAACAAAGCTAATTTAATATTTTTTATCGAATCTGTCAGCGGCTTGTATTGTGATTGAAGCGCTTTACTGCGCAACTTCTCCATCATCAGCTGCATCTGAAGTTTTCTCGATTTATCTTCTGAAAGACCATTTTGTACAAGAACTGCGACAGACATGGAAAACGAACGGAAGTAAATTATTATTATTGTTGTTATTAATAACTGGTAAAATACAATTAATGCTCGTATCACGAAAACAGAGTAAACTCTATTGCAGTCTGCATATTAATAACGGGGTGTATTCATACCTGCTGTTAATTGAGTGGCGTTCATGACCTAAACTTGTTTTTTATACAAACGAAAAAAGAGAAAGGATAATATTATTATACCTAATCTATTTAGTTACTCGAGCCGGAACAGAACTCAATAGAAAGTCGATTCGGTAAACAATTAATACCTACTAATAGGTAGATGGGTTATTATTTTATGGATAATCGAAATATTTAGGTAGACGGCCGATATAATATTTTATTTATTAATTAACAAGTAATAATATTTCACTGTAATCTGTAACTTTTGTGTGTGGTGGATGTTGTAAAATGTTGTATTTATTAGTGTTAACTGTTAAGTAGGAATTATACCTATACTTTTTTTTTTAACCTACAACTAAAAGATGTTTACTATTGTACCGAAAAACACCGCTACGGTGCGCTATATGTATCATGTGCAGCTGCTGTTATCAACTATTTTTAATATTTTTGATAACGCATTATCAAATTAACAGCCGGATTTCAAATAGGCCTTTATTGACTTGTCGGTTGATAACGAAATGCTATCGTTCTCCGGGACGTAAATAATCTTTTTCACATAATAACACGACATTGTTATTGTTATTATTATTAATCTATTTTCAATCACTCAGTTTTGATTAATTGCTATTGTAGTGATTGTTGTAAACATAAAAGAAACGTCAAATGCTGTAAATACTACGGTTGACGGTATATTAATTGCAATCGTTTGTTGTTAGCCGCTGTTCGAGAAGTTGCCATGACGACTCGGTCCACAATGGATGATCGACAATCCCTATTAGGTAACTGAAACAGTTATTTATATTAACCGTCCGGTTAAGACCTAGTACGCAGAATATTATTCGATCTTTTGCACTAAGCATTAATTTTATTAAAAATAAGTATACCTTAAGTACATACAGTGAGCTAAAAACCAAATAGTAAATTATTATACTTACCATTGCTACTTATACATTTATTTAGTAGGTACTATTTTTAAAATATATATCTTGAGTGCACAAACAGTATTTCCAACAAGAGTTTCAACATAATGTCACATTCATTAAGATCACGGATACCTTAATTTTTCGAAGGGTATAGGTTATATAGATTATAACTCACAACAGATTAAAAAAATATATATTTCCCGGGAGATACTTCCATAATTTGTTTCATACATTTTTATTTAAATTATAATTACATTAGTCATAATTTTACTCCTAAACAATTACTTAAAACTATCCTGAACATTTTTTATTTTAAAATAATGTAAATCACTTACATTATGTGGTTCATTTTTATAATATGGAATTACAATAACATAATATTATATATTATGGTTACATGTTACAAGAGCAAATAAAAAAATATACATTATATTAGTAATGAGAATTAATAATTTGGGTGTCCATGATCTTAAAACTAAAATTATTATTTTACAAATACAGGTTGTTTTATTTTATACAAAGTTTCAGGCAAAATTCACATTTTACTCCCAAACTAAAAAAAATGTCTTAAAAGTAAAATGTAGTTCTAAATCAAACAATTGTCTAAAAAATATTATTTTAAATTTAGAAAATGATTGTTTGATTCAGAAAAAAATGTATTATTTTTAGAAACTTTTTTTTTTGTTTGCGATTAAAATCTGAATTTTACCTGGAACTTTATCCTAACACTTTTTACAAAAAATATTAAAAATTGATTTTTTGCATGACGTAGTATCTTTTATGTTTTTACGCTTAAACACCTATTTATTAAAAAATTATTGGGAAAAAAATGGTCTTTTAGACTTATTATTAAGCCTATAAAAATCATACATTTAAATATTTAATCAATAAAAACTACTTAAAAAATACGAAATATTAATTATTGAATATTCAGTATGAAATAAATGGTTTTCTACATATTTTGTAGTATTTTCAGACCAACCTAAGTCTATTTATTACATTAAAATTCTTAATACAATCCCACGGAGAGGTATTTTATTTTATATATATTATAAGTGTTAAAAATTAAATTTTGTACTGTGTTTAGTTCCCAATTATAGTAAACATGTAACAGATTAATTTTTAAATGAAACCGTTAGTTTCAAAAATATGTATGTTTAGTTTACCTATTCTTAATTAAAAATAATCTCTCACCATAGCTAATTTAACGTTAGAAAATGTTTTAGGACTCACATTTATGAATATCATCATTAATTAATTTAATAATTAAGTTGGTACCATTAATAATAAGTGTGCAGGAATAATGGTTAAAATAGTTTGTATAATCTATTTATTATTAATGTTATTTAATGAGTATGACAAAAATTTACAGACTTATTTAAACTGCTACAATAAATTTACAATTTTGAAAAACAATTTTTTTTAAAAATTACAATAATATGAATTGTTGTATTGATTCAACTGACATTCCTTTAAAGATTAATTGTATGATCCCGATTCCCGAATTGTAGTAATTGTATTGTTAATTATACCACATTACTATAAATTTTCCCTTTCTGAACGTAACTGTTGCAAGCTATTATTTATGATATTACAACTAACTAATGAACCATTTAATTACCTTTGACACAATATTAGTAATTATTGTATGATCATAATTGTTTATAATCAAACTCGAGCATTTATTGGTTAGAATTTTATTTTAATATGAGTCTGTATATGTATTTATATATCGTCAGCCTATTTAGCAAGAGGCGTAACTCCAAAATGTCAAATTTTACACTAAAGGAAAAAAAAACGTTTAATTTATTCTATTTTTACAATAACAAAATTGCTTACTGTTTATCACACATTTCATGGAAAAAAACATATCATCATTATTATACCAGCCGACACACAGTTTTTTTCTACTTTCAAATAGTGTAGTATACTGAAAATGTTTTTTTTGTAGATAAATCCTAAATAGGCTGACAATATGTTATTCATTACTAAAATGTTGAAAATAAAACCTAATTTTTAAATATACTTTTGATAATTATGTTCTCAAAAATAATTTAAACCGTTCAGTATTATTTAAAGTTTATTTGATGTGTTTTTAAAAATTATAACTAAACGCCGCATCCTGGTACATATAAAGGGGCATAAAATTAGTTAACCAAATCCATATTATTTTATGTTTGCCGCCGTATAGTTAAAATTCGTTTTTTATTATTTTAGTCCTTTTTGGGCAATCGATTCTATATGATAACCCCTCTTTATCATGTTCAAATAATAGGATTTGTTTACTTTTTGCACAAAATTTCGGTAATTTTCTGACGCGTGACTACTCTAAGGCCTAAGCTCCTTAAATTCTTCTAGGCATGTCCGACTATTTTTACAAGATTTAGAATTATCTGTGCATTTTTATTTTTAAATTTGTAAAGTAAAATTTTTGTTTTTATTCTAAAATTGTTTTTCATGTAACTCATCTCGTAGTTAATCAAAAATGAATTCGAAAACTTGAAAATAGGATTGTGAACCGTGAACTTTACTATAAATCCAAATTAATTTTTAAAATAAATATCATATTATCTTCCATTCGGGCGTACCAATGAAACACTCGTATATTGACTAAAACGATATCGAAAGCCACAGAGGCTCTTAATTATTTTTTTCTTTGATATTTCATTCCAACGATAATTTTTTGAATAATTCGATTTGGGCAATAAACTATTTTAATAACATGCGGGCGAATCATGTGAAGTAAGTGATCAATAATACTATGTGTGCGACGCCCATTAATCCGCGTGGAGCGAGCTTATCTCGCACGCTTACAAGCACATGTCATCGATATTATACATAATATAATAATTGTAACTATTATTATAGCGAACCAAAGAAACCATTGACAATTTTTTATGAAACAATAATTAACTAGTAGCCCAAATAACTAAAGATTTGGAAAGGGTCGTCATTATAAAACCAATACCTTCACAGCAATCGCCTCGAAGCTATTAAAACTACTATTATAAAGAAGATATTTCGTTTGAAAAGGGGTCTATAACTTCCTCTCCTTTAGACCATTCTCGTAAACGTAGTATGCATATTGTATTTACCGGTAAAAACTTGCCACCCCCCCCCCCCTTATAAATTAATCCCTGTCAAGCTAGCTCAAAATACTCAAATAAAACATAATGTTATAACTTTAAAAACGACACCTGCTACGAATAACGTAGCAACTTAAGAAAATTACATAAAAATCAAAATGTTTCACTCTAGTTGTCTAGTTGTCCACATACAGGGAGGCTCCAGTGAGAAACTGTTTAAGTATAAGATACTGTTTACCTACTTTACATTAACTTTCTAGTAATAAAGTAATGTATTTAAATTTCATGTAAATCATATTATTATTATAATTATGTATATTAAGTAAGACTGTTGAAAAACTAGGGGCAATGAAACAATATTCAGTAGAAATTTGGTGCAGAAATTAAAAAACATCTATTATTTTCGATTGTTTAGAATTTATTTGAAACCAATATTAAAATTGAATGTATGGTTCGAAAAACGTTTAGAAAGATAGTTTAAAATTTTCCGAAAAAACTAGGAAAAACTAGTATATTATTTGCGGGAAAACTGGACAAAGTGGTTTATAGGTTAAAATAAAAAAGGAGCGAATAGTAATAATACTTTTACAAAAACTGGAAAAATTAAATTATACAAATTTCCGAAAAAAAATATTACTGAGCTGAAACCCAAGATAAACTTTTGCTTATAATATTTAAAAAAAAGTGTTACAGCACAAATAAATATTCGTCTCATTTTTCAATCAAAGTGAATATGATTACAATAAGTTTTAACCTTGTTGCTTAACTAAGAAAGTATTTTTATTAATTTCCAGAAAATTAAATGCTTTTTGAAATGTGTTTTCTGTATTATACTCTAAATTTTTATTATTTTCCGTGAAATTTCCGTCAGTTTAATTCTAACCTCTAGTACAGAACAAAAAAAATATTTTACTTTCAAACAATAGTAAAATTTCTTTCCAATTCAACTAAAAAGTTTCGACAACAATTATATATCGAAGTAATGTCAGCGACAACTTATTTTTAGTTAATTAATAATTTCTATGTGAAAAATTGTAACGATTTTTACAATAACATTAAAAACGAAAATGTATTTTGTACTTCGATGGATACAGCAAGCATAAAAAAAATAGAAACATATTTTTATGTTTACTAAACTTTGTCGGATCACGCGTTTTAGTGTGGTTAAAATTAGAATGAGTTGTTTGTTTACGATAAAAAAATACGCAGGTGTAGAGGCCCCTCAAAATAATAAATAGTTATATTCTTTAAAATTGGGTTTAATACTTTCCAACTATAATAAAATGTATAGACTTTAATCC